TCCTTTGCTCCTAGTAGCGATGCCAGGAGCCCCTAGTAGCGGAGGTCATGGTAGGCCGTCCATCAGCCTCGGGCAACAAGGCTTAGGATCCTTTCTTGGTTGCCTACTAGGAACAAGGACGCTACCAGCAGACGAATGATGTTGTACCATGTTATATCTTTGAATGGTGATATATCTCCAAGTGATGAGCACCCTGTAGATGAGACACAAGGGCCTATAGGGCCTATAGGGCCTAGAGACTCACATATTCGAATCACAGACCACACGAAACAGTTCCCCGCATGGCTCCAGGAGCTTCAAGAGTTGTCCTTGGAGCTCTTAGAGGCAGAGGAGATCTGGTCCCAGGCACCGCTCAAACACCTATTTCCCGGAGGAGAGAACGATGCGATCTAGGAATGGTGTGCAGGAAGATCCTGAAGACCAGAAATTTGGACTCAGCACCTGTGGTGGATGGGAAGGGCAGAATGATCAGAGTTTAAAAGACGTTGGACCTATTTTCGAGCGGTATTTGGGCCAACTCACGCACAGACTCACCCTCGTTGTGTCGCCATCAACGAAATTCAGCCTCCCCCTACAATCCATGAAGAAACATCTCAGCTGAGTTGGCTGAGCTCCTTCTATGCTTGTGACTGCGACCAAGTTGAAGGGAACTGTACTGCACCGTGCTCAGCTGCTCAGCTCTGCGTAGCTATCTAGCTCTGTGTGGCGAGCACCTCGAAGCAAAAAACATAGAATCCACTGCATTCCTGGTGTTAGAAGACGTCGTGCACGTCGCGCGTCTCTCATGGATTTCTGGAGAAAGCACAGACGTTGCACGGCAGGCGAACGCCTCGTTAAACCCAAAGAGGGTGCAATAGGGGGTCGAGAAGGATCGTTGGGGTGGCGAAGATGCTTGGGCAGTTTGGTTTGTTTCTTTCTTTTGTGTGAAATCGTATCTTTTTCCTGGATAGAGTGAGCTCATATCCATCCGTCCGTCTCTACCATGCCTGGAATATGTCCTGGGACATGAGTGGTTGTTTGAATATTCATTGCTTTTACACAGAAAGTCACCACAAAGACAACGTGTCGAAATCGAACTGAAAAGGCCCGGATGTTGTCAGCCTGGATATTATGACCATACCGCAATGTACAGAATGAAATCTACAATACAGTATTTCATATATATATATGTATATGTATATACGAGTACAATAATTCCAAATAAGGATGCTTTGATGGTGCGAGGTGAAGGAGAAGGCCAGCAAGACCAGCACGGAGGCTGCAGATTGGGTGCAGCTTTCCACATGAAAGTGGATGGCTTGATGGCTTGGGTTCTGTGAGGATTGTTTCCGAATGCCAAACAGTGGGTGAAGAAGAGCTCTTCTTCCGAGTGTGAGTTATGTGGTGTATTTGGTTGGGTCCAGAGTCCATGGAAGAACCGCATCGAATTGATTGGCATCTCTGAGCCAAGAGGCGACGTCATAGGAGTCATATGACCAAAGAAACTGCTTGAGTGACTTGGGTCTGCCAAACCTCAATTTATAGACCAGTGGTGCAGTCTTTTTATGGTTAACCTTCTTTTTCAGCCATTGTAGCATCCACACAATGCATCTCAGAAACATTTTCACTGCGTTCTAAACAAGGAATGACTAATGGGTGTACCTGCCTGACAGGGTGTGGGTGTATATATATATACACATACTGAAGTTTGTAGTGTCCATGAAGAAGAACCTGTGGAATGGCCGAAACCGGAGCTCTTCTGCCATTCGGCTTTTTTTTGTTGCCATGCAGATCTGCTGCAGGTCATCATGAATGGCCGGGTCGTGGAGTCACACTTCTGGCAGCGGGGGAGCCCAAAGCCGGCCACGGAGGATGGGGAAACTGCGCCAGTCTGTTGCCGGGCTGCCCACAGGCTGTCCAAAAGTTCTAGTTTCTTTTAAAAATGAGTGAAGAGGTTGGGCACCTTTCTTTCTACCTTTGTCCTCGATGCTTCATGTTGCTTTACGATACTTCACCGGAGGACATTTGTGTCAACAATTGGCTGACGGGGCTGATCGAAGATCTCAGGCATTTGATGGGAGTCATTCCCCTAGTAAACTTGGAACCCTGATCGAACAAAGAATGGCCTTCTCACTGAACTGCTGAATGCTCCAATGTGGAATGGCAGTGCAGTTGTAGCGATTGCCTTTTGGAACCTCAGTACTTCCTCCTCGGGGAGCCCGAAAGCCATACACTGCAACACTGGAAAACCATAGGAAAACCATGAATACTGTATATATATGGTACCCCCACCCCCCCCAAATGTCCATATTTTTTAAACATTTACTGGTATTTGCAGGGATTGTGGGGGTACCATATATATATATATAATCCTAAAATCCTAAGATTTCAGCACTAGTCGGAAATGGCGGACGTAAACTTTCCAGTACTTACAGAAAATTTTAAAATATTTTAAAATTTTCTCAGAAGTAAGAAGCAAGAAGTAAGATTCTCTAGGAGAGTTCTGTGCAATCTTACTTCTTACTTCTTACTTCTGAGAAAATTTTGAAATATTTTAAAATTTTCTGGAATTCTCTAAGTATTGAAGTCTTCACCGTTTCTGGAGCAGCCGGTTATTCTCAAAGGCATTTTTGCATCCAAAAACCGGCTTCATGGCATTCCATGTGTCTGGGGAAGTCACGGTCTCCAATGACAAGGCGAACCTGGTCCTTAATTTGAAGGACCCAGTGACATACCTGCTCGACATGAAAGCCTTGTGGGATGGCATTAGCACCGGAGAAATTGGTGTGCATCCCACTCGGCAACCGTTGGACAGAACCACTTTGGGAACTTTGATTCACAATATTCAGCGGTCTGCCGACTTGAAGCCTACTGGCCTCAAGGGAGCATGGAACCCAAAAGCTGAAGACACCCTCATCCGCATCTTGGCGTCTCC